GACTTAATGGTTGCAACACTTCCAATGCCAGTAGCCGCTATCTATGAAATCTCTGAAGATTGGTGGTTAGGTGAGTTATATTGTATTATATTTTACACATAAAATTTTAATTGTTCGATCAATCAAAGAAATGTATTCAATTTATGTTTGTTAGTGAAAGTAAATGTCAAGTTATATTGACAGAAATAAGCTACATATAAGCAAAGATGGATATTAGCTAACAGTGGAAAACAGGATGCACGTTTCATCCTATTTAGGACTCATCAGCTGGATGTGCTTGAATCTCGAACCCAGCACTGTTCGCTTCAAATACCATCACGCTATCCACTTAGCCACTGATTAGTCATAACAACTTGCTTGTAATGCTTGTTAACTAAGGCAATATCGAGGCAGTCCGCACAGGATGCACATATGCCAATAAGAGACTGGTCTTAAACATTAATAGAAAGTTTCAAGTAAACAATACCAAGTGAATATAAATTACATATAAGGTAATAATTATAACTGATTTGAGTTGAAAATGCAAAACAGTAATTTAAAAACCAAAATCCGATAATAATCAAATAAAAGTGCAGAAAAGAAAAACAAAAAAGACAACCAGAAACATACCCAATAAGGGAATTAGAGCCAAGGAAAGCTGAGACGTTGGACAAATCGTTTCTGCACGCAAAGTTCAGGCTTCAGTTCGTGGATCGACAATGCCTCAGCAGTGTATAAAATACTGATTCGACCCCACTTCAATCCGGTTCCTTTGACTCAGTAGATTACTTTAAATAAAAGAGACTTAACAAACCCCAGAATGGTAGATCGGCTAGAGAAAACAATTTGAAGCTTAGCTGCTTATAATGTTTTATTTAACGATTTTGAAATCCGTTTATTCACGATTTCAACAGCTGTGTCTCCTTTAAATTTCATATTCATAAACAACGTTTTCTTCTTCACTGTCGAAACATTTCCCTGATGTTTTAATATTTCTGTCATTCATCATGGCAATGAATGATTAGTTATCTTTACTTGATTTATTTTTTACAGGACTAAATAAGGAATAATTAATGATTGTTAAGTAACATACATAGAAATAACTATTCAGATTCTATTGATAATTATATTCTATCATTTAACTGAAATAATTAACTTATTTTCATTTAAGTTTACTACTTACCTGTTGACACTATAAACATGACTGAAACAATTCTACTAAAGTTTAGGAACATGACTTTTTGGCTAGTCATTAATTAACATATATACTATTATACTTGTAACCTAACGGATAATCTATAAGTGTATGTAGTTATTTGTTGATATGGTAAGAAATGATTTAACTGTTTATGATTATCATTTCAAAGATTACATTTAAAGAAAACTTTATTGGTTTAGCTAGAAACAGATATCTTATGAATCATTTGAATATCCATCTATCCATCTATCCGTGTTTGTAGATATGTACTGATGAGCAAAAATTAAACGAAGACAAAATAACTGTTCAATGTCACTCGGTTACGACTTCACGAAACAGGTTGTTTTGTAGGTTCTATCATTCACTAATGCAAACCACATGACACTAGACAGTTATTTCATCTTAGAACTCCAAAGGATGAATCAAATTTAGACCTTTATATCGTGTAGCATGAAACAACTATCATATATTCTATGCTTTTTAACGATATTTCAGATTCGTGTTACAAACTAGCTTTAATCATTAGTTAAAAAAATGCCAAAAATATAACAACAAAAAAATACAATTTACTTTACAGTTTATCAGACAGTAATAAAAGGTTGGTTGAGATGAGACATTAACACCGTTAGATGCCGGCTCAGTGGTCTTAAGGTTAAGCGTTTGCATGCAAAACATAGAGCCCTTAGTTCAAATCCCATGGATGCGTACTGCAGAGGAGTCCCACAATAGGACGGAACGGTCATCCAGTGCTTCAAAGGTTTTCAATGGTGGTCTAACATCAATCGATTCATGATCTCAATTAAAAACATAATCAATCTTTACAACCCCATATTGATGAAAAAATTATTAGTTATTTAAATTAATGCATATAATATAATATATGAACTATTATTAATTTTTAAGCCTCTTTGATAATGTAATAATGTATTTGACTTCATTAGCTTGAAAATAATGTTGGCGAATCAATTTTTTCTAGCTGTAAAATAAGTACCAAGGGTACTTTAGTTTTATTTTTCAGTTTGACATAAAAATTGATATTGCTCTCGGAGATTACATTTGCATACCTCTTTCTCTCTATATATATGATTTTGTTGGCAGATATATATATATATGTACTTGATAGATTTTTACAAGAAATTTCGTGGAAAATCGTGAATTAATCCATGTTTACATTAGGGTACTGGATAAAATTTGTTGTATAGTTGAATATCTTAGTTTTTATTAAGATTCAAACCAACGTATTAAGATAGGCAGAACACCTATTCAAGCAGTTGACATGTCTTGTGATTGAACAGTTAAACACTGAATTTCTCGGTCCTGAAAGTCTAGAGAATATGCTGAAATTGATAAAGGGTTAATGGGTGTCCAGTTTATATAACAAAAACATAGTATTTTTTTCTCCCAGAATTGTCCTAAAAGCTTTCAAAAGATCGCTGAATGATAAAAGTATCATCAGTATTTTCACTGATTGTGAAAACTTTTAACAGGGATTGCTTAGGGCTTTGAAATTAACCTGAAATACAAAAAGGAAGTGATCCTTTCAGCTGTAAATGCCTGGACAACTAATAAGATGATATATATATTATTAAATGTGGTTAAAATTGAGCGAAACTCAGTATCCATCAACTTGGTTAGAGCGCTGTACACTCGATTTTCGTTCTCTCAATTTTGTAAACAACACCCTCACTACGAGAAGGCAGTGAGTAGGACTAACCTGGTAGTGGCTGATACGTGTTTCTATGTGAGAGCATTTCGAGAGGGAGAGCTAACTCTTCCCATGCTTGGCCTTACCAGGGCATATTATTGATTACTACTCAATAATTTACTAACGTACCGAAATGTAGATTTTTTTATAACTTGTCAACTGTTCATAAACGTCATACACCTTAAGATTCATTGTTTTATAAATGTCTATAAAAATAGTGACTGTATGAAATGAATGTTGATAACATTTTCAATTTGAATTTAATTAGTAGTAGATTATGTTTAAAATAAGTTTTTATTTTAAGTTGAAAAGAGCAAAAATGAGATAAAATGATTTCATATTATCAGAAGGGGTCTAGTGGAGATTTTAGTAATTTTATAGAGTTGTGATCATGAGTCAATTGAGGCTAGACCATCATGGAAAACCTAGAAGCACAGGATGGCCGTTTCGTCCGATTGTGGGACTCCTCAGCAGCGCGCACTCACAATCCCGCCTCGCGAGATTAAAACCCAGGATATACCAGTCTCGCACCAGAGCACTTAACCGATAGACCACTGAGCCGGCATTCTAGTGAGAAGCAGTAACCGGTGGAGTTCAACCAGGTCTGTTAGGAGATATCAACTCACTGATGATATTGATGAATGGTTGCTCGATTTCGTGATTTCAAATCTTTGTTCTTGATCTTTTCAAGATTTTAATAAGAACTATATGTATAGGAAAATTTCTAGAATGAATCTATTGAGGAAAAGCTTGAAAACCTAATATTATTGAAAGAAATATCATTGTGATCCAACAGACTAAAACAAGTGATAAATGGAAATTTTATTGATAAATATGAATCTATAGGAGAATAGAAAGAGATTACATCATAAAATGTTCCGAGAGTTCAAGCAACAAAAGAAGGTCACATAATGATTTAGAGGTTAGAGAAAAACTTGAGATGAGATATGTTTTTTTAATTTTCTTCCACTTTTCTCTAATCTATCGATAAATTGTACTACATTCTCTTGGTATTTAAAAAAAATTTCTTCTCTTTCATTTTCCAAATTACGCTCGTTATCCAGATTCATATCCTTAAATAAATATTAGTAATACTTGACTCTCTAGAAGTCATTTATTTATTTACACTTACTAGATATTCATACCCAATCATCAATGAAGGATATGATATACGTAACATTGGTCACTGTTCAGTGATCAATTAGTTGTAAATGTCTCAATTAAGAAGGAAGTCAGTCATAGCCCAGATAGGTCAGTGGTTACATCTCAAACTTTGAAAGTAAATGACTCAAGTTCATCTTCCACAATCATCAGTAGTTCCCCCAAAGCTTACAAATGCTCCTTGTTGACTAGTCCTGACTAACATAGAACCTAGGTCAGACAGGTTTTCCTGTCGAAAAGCACCTGCCACCTAACATTCCTAGTTATTACAGAACCTGTCAATCTGATGGATAATTGTTTAAAATTGTTTAATAAGTAATACTTATGTATAATAACCCATTAACCTTTATATTTGATTTATTTATTTCCTCTCTTATTAGTGTTCTATAAATACTTTGAATAAGTAGTTTACATCACAAACTGACTTTGGATAGACAAAGACTAAAGTTCAGATGGATAATAAGTTAAACTTAGCTTATGACTACTCATTTGTACAAAATCACGATCAAAACAGGTATTAAATCGAGGACTTACACCATCGTTTGATAGGCATTGATTATTATTGTTCATTGTAAAACATCAGATAGAGTAAAGCTCTGACAAAAAGCACATCGAAAATAACTGCTTCATCATTTTAATCATCTTGCCATAAATATTTAACAGTGAATTCTTTTTTACTGAAACGATTCCCTGGAGAGACAAATTTTTACTCGATCATTATATACTATACATTTAGAAATATACATTATGAAAATAATAATAATAATAATAATGCAAATAATGGAATTCGTTTTTTCCCCCTGTCTTTCTTTTCGCACATATATATGCCAGACGGCAAAAATAGAATTAAGAAAGAAAGCACATTAGAAAGCATAGGTTGCAAATAAAAAAAACATTAACTATAAAAACGTCTAGTCTATAAAAGAATAATTCTATTCTTCCAATTTTATTACTTAGAAACAGTGTAAAGGCAATAATTTAATCTCATAGTTAACATTAGAGAATGATCTTATCTAAATAACTACTGCAAAGAGGATAGCATTGGACAGCGGTTTATCTTTAGCATGATGTTCCTCTTCAGTGAGCGTCAACAAACTTACCACCGCAGACCAAACTCAAGACATTCGATTTCACAAACGAACGCATGCGAGGCAGTTACAGACTAAATACATTGGAAAATGGTTGCATGCTATTACTAACTGCCTAAAGTCAAACAAATATACCAGTGGAAGCTGATTTAATGGTTTGTATGTTAGGCGTTTGTGCTATAAATCGAAGTTCCTGTGTTTAATCTTTGTTGGTATAGTCGTGGATACTCACTATTAAAGAATCCCATACCAGAAGGAAACGGTTGTCCAATCATTTCTAGTTTTCAAAGGTTATTTAACTAAGATCAGTCTGTGATATTAACTATGAAATTGAAAAACAACCGCCATATAAACACCCATAGTGATAATTTAATAAATGACTGAGGTAAGTCATGTTGATCAAATTGTATAAAAACATCATTTTTTACATATCACCTGGCTATCTAATTTTTTTAATTATGCCTTAAAAATTATGTATTTGTGAGAGTTTGTTTAGATTATAGAGAGAGAGTTGAAAGTAAATTTTTGAAATAAATTTTATTCGGTTAGATGTATTTGCTACTTATTTTATGGTCTATAAGTACTATAAACTGTTTCCAAAAGTTAACAATATGTTAAATGTAGATATATTGTGATTGCATTTTGAAAGAAAATGGAATACCCATTTGATAACTTGTTATGAAGGTCTGATGTCTGGCAAACGTCGTACAAACATAAACCTTTTTCAAAAGGTTTTTATCAATGCTTGAGAGTCGATCTGAGTTAGACCAGCATTGAGAACCTGGAAACACTGAACGGCCGTTTTGTCACAGTATGAGACTACTGAACAGTGCACATCCACGATCCCACACACAGGGCTCAAACACAAGATCTTCGTTCACGTGCGCGAACTCACCGTCGAATTCTTCCAGGTTTTAAATGGTGGTCTAGCTTACATCTACTCATGAATTCAACTATTAAAATTACTACAATCTCCACAAATCTTCATTCCGATGAATAAATTGTAATGAAATGTATGGTGGTTGAATATAGTTACCTGAATATTAGAAAAACAGAATCATATCACATTTCAGGCTTAGGTATAATGTTTGTTACGTCCATTCACTTTATTTAATCTAATATCAACTGTTTGGTGTTGTTTGGTGACATACACTTTGTTTTTTAGATGACTCCAAATTTCATAAATGAATTTCAGACAAACTTTTAGTGACGGAAGTTATGAAGTCTATTGTGAGGGCTTAAAACTGTGTAAAGCCTTTTCAACTACAGGTATATTCACTTGATATTGTTTGCTTGTATCTTCGCATTGTTGTTTAGGATTGATATTAATCAGTCTCTTGATGGCATATCTGCATCGTGTGCTGACTACCTCAATATTGACTTAAGTCACAAGCTTTATAAACAAAGATGGATAGTGGATGGCAGTGGGATCCAGAAGACACATTTCATCCTATTTTTGGGACTCGTAGGCTGGATATGCCTGCATCCTAGAGTTAATGTTCATTCCGGGACTCGAACCCAATACCGTCTGCTTCAAGTGCCATCGCGTTATTCATTTAGCCACTGAAGTGGATTTGAATTGATTATTATACAATTAACTTTCAAATTTTTAAAGTGTTCTGCTAGTTTTCAGGTTGGAAATTGTAATTACCAATTAATAAATAGTCACTTAAAATATCGTCTAGTTCACATAAACACGTAGACCAATAAAACTGAAATAAAATTCACTATTTAAAAAAGAATTGTCTGCTTTATTCCTAATTGTTTTTCTTCCTACACTACTCTTAGTGTTAAATTAAATTTTCTTTTGAATTCATTGTTGTTTTGGGTTCATTTTACTTGATAGACAATTCTCATCGTTGATTAATTCATTGATGACCCAGTCAAAAATAGTAACACAGGTGAAATAATGTTAATCATGTTGATTTATGAAGTTTAGAAGAAAAAAATCTTACATTTACTTAGTTTTCAAATGTAGACACATTTCATTCTAATAGTTGAATTCATGAGTTAATGTAAGCTAGAACACTTATGAAAACATGGAAGCAATGGACGGCCGTTTCGTTCTAGTATTATACTTCTCAACAGTACACATCTACGATCTCGCATGTGAGGTCTGAACACAGGACCTTCAGTCTCGTGAGCAAATGCTTAACCTCTAGACTACTGAGGAGTCCTATACCAGGACGATACAACCATTCAGTGTTTCCAGGTTTTCTATGATGTTCTAGCTTATTATTATTAGTGGCTTTGTTCAATATTATATTTTCGGTACAATATAGAGTTCTCAGCACAATGTATTACAACAAGTTTCGTTTTCTTACTTCTTGACCGATCCTTGCGATAAATATTGAATGGTGGCCAGCTAGATGTTAGCAGTTCAAGAATGGATATCTGAACAATGTATATTCTTTTCGATGAATATTGCCAGGAACCATGATATCTCTGATTAGGCTTTTTTTGTAAGTTGTACAGCGTATGGTTGTAAACTTTTAACAAACTTACCTGAATAGGTTATAAGACTAATAGGCATAATAACGTGTTAAAACAAGCAAGAAAACAGATAAATTGTTGAAATATTCAAATGGCAAGAACAGGTAACCCAAATATTCAAGAAGGCCACCTGCATCAACTCATGAATTCAACTAATAAAATCACTTCAATCTCCATAAATCCAATTCTGTTCCTTTTCATTCTAACTAAGTGTTTAATTATTTTATTAGCAGAAAACATGAGTCAATTAAAGATAGACCATCATAGAAAACCTGAAAGAACTGGATGGCTGTTTCGTCCTATTGTGAAACTCCTCAGCAGGGCTCAGCCACAATCCCGCTTGGTTAGATTCAAACTCAGAACCTATCAGTCTCTCACGTGAACACTTAACTTCTAGACCACTGAGCTAGCCAGCATCCAACGGTGTTAGTGTCTAACTTAAACGAATCCACAAAATTGTTTATTTGTTCATTTTTATTCACATCAAAATGTTTAATTTAATTTTTGTTGTTGTTGAAAATTCTATTAGTTAAATTGTTACATTCACATTTAATTTCATTCCAAATTGTATTACAACAGATAGTTAGTTTCCATGTGATTAATTATTATTTTAATAATAATAATAGAATTACAATTATACAAATAGAACAAATGGATAGATAGTAATTTCAATAGACTGTTAGTTAAGAATTATATCCATATGGTATTTTAATTATGTAAAGAAAAACACAATTGATTGTAATAGAGCAAAAAATTAAAAAAAATAAACACACACATACACACGCACACACATACACACATACACATACACGTAAGTAACCTAGGGTAAAATGTTTTGTAATAATTTTCATTAGAAATTCTTTCATATTAGGTAGTTTACTATTAGAAAGATACAAATGCAGCATTTGTATACATTTCATGAAATTTGTTTTATTATCAGAAAGGTTTTTTTGGTGGAGATTTAGTATTATCATAGTTGAAAGCGTGAGTCAATTGATGTTAGTCTACCAGGGAAAACATGTAAGCACTGGACGGCCGTTTCGTTCTATTGTGGGATTCCTCATCAGGACGCATCCACGATCCCACCTCGCGAGATTCGAACCCACGACCTACCAGTCCCACGCCAGAGCAATTAACCAATAGACCACTGAGCCGGCATCCCATGGTGTTTATGTCTAACTCCAACCAATCCATGAAGTTGAGCAACCGTTCACCAATTGTCTTTAGTGAGTTCCTATCTCACAACAGACGTGGTTCGAACTCCACTGGTCACTGCTTCCACTACACACTTCTGAGAAGTCACACAATAGAACGAAACGGCCGTCCAGTGTTTCCAGGTTTTCCCTGGTGGTCTAGCTTCAATTGACTCACGCTTTCAACTATGAAAATTTGTTTTAGTTTTTGGAAGATTTTGTTCATTGGTTTTTATGAGAATTCAATCCTTCATTTGATTATGTTGAATAGATATAATGTTTTCAGAACAGAAATCCTTTTTTATCACCTTAGAAATTAAGAAATAATGGGCAAAATGTGATTTGGTTTTCTTTTATAGCTTGGAATCATTCAGTAGTATGAAATTGCGGTTCTTGAAGTAGTGACACATGGGTTTCCTAGATTTGAATGCTCATTATATAAGTTAGGGCAACTGTTCATTTATTTATAGTATTCATTAACACCTGAGTAAAGGTATAGTTTAGAAGTGGAAAATGTTTTCATAAAACCACCAAAATGTTACATTTTCCCATTATAACATAGTAATTACCAATGGTAATTTTTTGAGAATAATGAAACATTCATTTCTGACTTTCGGAAACTCTTGTTGTTAAAGGAACAGAATCAATCTCCAAAAAACCCCCTTATGATAATGATCAACTACTCACTAGTGACTGGCTTCATAAGGTAATTCCTGGAGTTCTAGTGAGAAGTCATGGCCAGTGGAGCTAATCCATAGAAATCTACCTCAGTACAATAGAAGTTAATCGAGCAATTTCATGAATTGGTTGAGGTTAGACATTAACACCGTTGGATACCGGCTCATTTAACTATCAGTTAAATGCTCTGGCGCGAAACTGGTATGTCCTGGGTTCGAATCCCTTGAGGCGGGATCGTGGATGCGCACTGCTGAGGAGTCCCACAACAGGACAAAACGGCCGTCCACTGCTTCCAGGTTTTCCATAGTGGTCTAGCTTCAATCGACTCATGATCTTAACTATATAGAATTAATAGAGGTTATTTAAGCGAATAAGCTTTTAATACTTCATTGTTCATCATATTTATACTTATTCATTGACCGTTCATTATTCTATCTTACTGTAAGCTATTTCTAGTTATACAAAAATAGATTTATGTAACAAACAATATTGATACAATAAATACAGATCTTTTTTTAATAGTTGAATTTATGTGTCGATGTAAAGTAAACTACCATTGAAAATCTCGAAACTTTGGACAGTCGTCTCGTCCTAGTATGAGACTCTTCAACAGTGTGCATCAACAATCCCACATGTAAAACTCCGACTTGCGATCTTCGGTCGTGTGTGCGAACTCATCGTCGAATTCTTCCAGGTTTTCAACGGTAGTTTAACTTACATCAACTCATGAATTCAACTATTAAAATCACTACAATTTCCACAAACCCTCATTCTAAAATAAAGATCTATCTCAATAATTAACATACTCATATAGGAAAGTCAACTAGATTGATGAATCAAGTTTTATTTGTATTTAGTGCAGAAAATGGAACATGCTAAGAAAAATATAACTCAGTTTTTTTTTAAAAAAAAACAACAAAAGAACATAACAAAACATTAAAGATTCAAACAACTAATCCTGTTAACAGACAAATCTTATAATGAAGATAATGAAACTGTTAACTGTGATCTGTTTGACAAT